GTGTGTGGGAGTATAGGGGAAGATACACAAAAAAGGGTGATCTTCCGGTGAGATGTGGCAAGGACAGCCCCTTCGATCTTCATAGGCACCATTTTGTCTGCAGCAGTCTACCAGCCTGGTCACAAAAAGTAAGCCGTGAGATCTGTTTCTTGAATAATTTCGAATTTGTCTAACATTCGATTTTCCATTACTTAGTGTTGGGATTAATTAGGAAAAGATCTCAAATTTGGGATATCCATTATCATCGCTGGGATGATGGGATTCCTGTTGCCTCTATAGAGGGATTCTTCGTGGCTGAAATCCACGTGGCCGAGCCGACCTACATCACCACTTCTGGAACCCACACAACATCCAAGGTACTATATATTCTTTTAATCATCAGCTGCTATTTTCTTGTCATTCCTTGTGTTGGTAAAATAACGCACGATTGTCGTCATTCCATCTAGGGTTCCTTTTATCGGGCTAAAGCCTCCTCACCTACCGATCGTCGCGTTCGAGATTTGGGCCCCATCAGCCCAGACCTGGGACTGTCTTGTAGCCGTCTGCAGTCAACGCTACGCTGCTTTAATTCACGTTTTTGGGGCCTGCTTATTGGTGGCTGAAAGGCGACACACAGGAGACACCACCTGACAACGCTGCCTGACTTCACCTGATCCCCCTGTACATCAGGACCTGCTCATAATTTGGTGAGTTCGTTCCATGCACCACCAGGGATAGTATTTTACTTGGGATAAACTACCACCAACCATAATTCATCAGTTTTAAATTTCATTCAACATAATATAATTGCAACATGTCATTGATTTAATAGACACTCAGTATAGCTACAAAATATACCCCTGTAAACCAAAAGTGCACTGCGGTAAAATAGGCCTTATTATTTCTATTGTCTCATTGATACTGATTTACTGAGTTATTTTGTTGATTAATAAGCTATATATTATCATACTGTCTCAGAGAGTTGATTTTGAGCAGTGATTGTATTATTTTACACTGATCTGAAGAGTTGATTTCAGTCAGTCAATTTATATTTCTTGTTGTTGCAATAATTGTACACTGTTCAGGTAATATTACTATTGATACTCAGTTACTTTGGAAGTCTTGAGCCAACTATAGTATCATTTGGAGCACATTATTTGTCATTTCAGAATTTACTTGTGATTAAAAGCATATTCATCCCTATCAAACTTAGTATTTTACTAAGCCTAACGTACCCACCCATTTGTTCCGCTGAACTACCAGTGTCTAGTTTCTACGGTATCAAACTGGGCACTAAAAACACTTTTCCTGTTGTCAATACATTTAAGATTTAAAACACCTAATAAATCTTAGGTAATTCATCAACCAAACTCAGGGGTAAATAAAATTCTATTCCATTTTTCTCACTACTCACCCCCTGAGATTTAAAGGCATAACAAAGGTGTTTGCGTTTTTTGAAGATTGATATTTCTCTTGGAATCATTTGAGATGAGCTGAAGTAACTCAGAATCATTCATTTGTGCACAACTCAATGTTTGGATATCAAGATATTCTAAAGAAGAAATCTCAACTTCATGCAAGCGCGAAAGAGTATCGGCTACCACATTCATACTTCCTTGCACATGTCTAACATCAGTAGTGAATTGTGATATAAATTCCATGTGTCGTGTTTGTCGTGGACTTCTATCGGTCTTAGTAAACAAAGCTGTTGTTAGTGGCTTGTGGTCTGTATAAACGATGAACTCTATACCTTCTAGATGATAACGAAAATGTTTAATTGCTGCAAATATTGCCAAAAGTTCCCTATCGAAAGTTGAATACCGTTTTTCAGTTTCACTCAATTTTCTAGAAAAGAATGCTAAAGTTCTTTTTGATCCTTTATCATCTTCTTGTTCCAATGATGCACCGATTGCTGTACTAGATGCATCAACTGTAACACTTATTTTACCGTTTTCTTTAGGATGCACCAGCATGGAAGCATTGGCCAATTCCTCTTTTGCCAGAATAGAACTATCTTCGCAATCTTTCACCCATGTACCAATGATTTTCTGTTTTTGTTTTTGAAGATTAGATACCAGTAAATGTAATGGTATTAAAATTTTAGCAATATTAGGTATGAATCGATGGTAGAAATTTATCATTCCCAAGAATCTTTGTAGCTGTTTCAATGTACTGGGCCGTGGAAATTCTTTGATAACTCGTATACGATCTTCAGATGGTTCAATACCCTGTTTTGAGATAACGTGACTCAGAAAATTCAACTTGGATACTCCAAATACACATTTTGAAGGTTTAATATTGATACCAAATGAATTCAATCTTTCGAATAAAATTTCGAGATGTTCCAGGTGTTGAACTTTATTTTTGCTGGCAATTAATATGTCATCAATGTATACAAAAACAAAATTTAGGCCGTTCACTACTTCATTCATGAAACGCTGGAATGTTTGAGCTGAATTTCGGAGCCCAAAAGGCATTCTCGAAAATTCGAAAAGACCGAAAGGCGTAGTAACAGCGGTTTTTGGAATGTCTTCTTCCGAAATTGGAATCTGGTGGTAAGCTCGAACTAAATCAATTTTAGAAAAAATACTACAACCCTGAACATGTAGATTGAAATTTTGGATATGTGGGAGGGGATATCTATCCGGGACTGTTACAGCGTTCAATTGTCTATAGTCGCCACAAGGTCTCCAATCATTTGGTTCTCTCTTGGGTACCATATGAAGTGGTGAAGAAACATATGAATTCGAAGGTCGACATATACCAAGTTGAATCATATGATCAAATTCTGCTTTTGCAATTTTATGTTTTTTTGGATCTAGCCTGCGCGGCCTCATGAAGGGTAATGCACCAGTTGTAATAATTCGGTGTTTGACCGAATGCTTGACTGGTAATGAGAAATCTGGGTCTTCTATAAGGGAAGGAAATGATTTCAAAAGATCAGTGAATTCATTTTGAATAGCAAATATCTTGAGTAAGGGTATATTTGAATTTTTAATAATTCCATTTATACAAAGCGTAGTTTTTGGATCAATCAAGCGTTTATTTTTCATGTCAACAATTAAACCAAAATGTGAAAGGAAATCTGCTCCAATTATAGGACGATTGATTCCTGCAACAGTGAATATGAAAGAAAAATTTCTTCTGAGTCCAATATTGACAGTTAATAATTTTTTACCAAAAGTAGGTATAGAAGAGCCGTTAACTGCGGAAAGAAGAACATCTGTGTCTTTTTTGAAATCTGTGAATAAACTTCTTGGAATAATCGATACATCGGCTCCTGTATCGACTAAAAATTGTAATTTGGTTAGAGAATCAAATAGGAATAAGCGGCGACTCGATGTCATCGTCCGGTCGTGTGTCGCTTCCAAGACTGGACATGTTAGTTTTTTTGATAATTTTGTTCAAATTCTTGAAATTTTGAACACCAGGTACCACCACATTTCCTCGCGTTGTTTCCAAACTTTTGATGGTAGAAACATAGGGTACTATCTCTACGTAAATTTGAATTTGATCTTGTTCGATTAGGCCCCCTTTGGCAAGAGCAAACAGGGTTAACTCTGGAATTACCTGATGAGCGAATTTCACAAATTTCTGCCTGCATATTGCTAAAACGTGATTCTAAACTTTTTTGTTGATCACGCAATTCATCTAATGTTTCGGAACATTTTATTGAAAGCTCTGCAAAAGATTTCATAATTTTTTCTGAACTTGTCTGTAAGGTTGATTGTTTATCAATTGAGTGAACATCATTAAATGTATCTCGGCCACGGTATGTTTCCCATATTTTATCAGCAAGGTCCAGAATATCGTCAACTTCTTTTTTACCTGAAGAAGTTAAAGCAACTAATATTGTCTTAGGTAATTTCCTTTCCCACAATTTTATTATTAACTGTTTACTAACTACGGAAGATCCACCAACTGAATTCAACATTTCTCTGTAAAATTCTGATGGTTTTTTGTCTCCAATATAGGAATGTGATAGAAGTGAATCTAATCTAGTTTCTTCACTTGCTGTGAGTCGTTGTATGATTTTATTCTTTAGATTTTCGTATAATTTTTCAGTCGGTGGATTTTCAATGATATCGAACATAGTCGATATAATTTCTAGTGGTAAAGCAGCTATGAGATAATTATATTTGGTGCGATCAACAGTAATTCGAGCTATAGCAAATTGAGACTCGACCTGATGGAACCATATTTCAGGTTTAGATGGCCAAAATGGTGGAAGTTTGACTGAAGCAGCAATTTCATTATCAATATCAACTGACATCATTATTATATTATGAGATATTGGTAGATTTGGTATTCCGGATAGATAATGACAAATTTGGCGGAAAAGTTGCTTGCGGGATATACGACTTACTCGGAGAATCAATAAATTTAAATCAGTATGAGTTTTTCTTCTATTCTCTTGCCTCCACTCTCGTTGATGGAAGTTTCAGTTGAAGTTCTCTTGAACCAACCAGCTTACAGTTTGTTGTAATCGTTCGAACTGATAAAAATGGCTATCCTTCCTGGTTTGATTGATTGTAGGGTCCAACTCAGGTTCAAAGGAGCAATAGGTATCCGTTTGAATAAGTTCTTCTTGCTTGAAAAGTTTTTGTCTCCTTTTTGAGTGCGATGGATTTCTTTTCTTGATAAGTGCTTGATGTTCTGCTACTCGGGGTCACCAATTTGTAGGGGTTTTGTTTGGAATTAAAAGGAGCTGGTCAATGGAAAATCTTAATATATTTCCTAATCTTTTGAAAATGGTTTTCTAATCTGACATGTCTTTCAGAAATGATAATATAACAATCAGTCATCATCCTAGATTAACGTGATAGATATATCATACGGAGTGTGCATACGCCACACTTAACTCAAATTTTGCAGCATGAACATAAGAAATTTGAATCCAAATTAGAATCCACAATGAACAAGTGATTATTTCGAACATACATCTAGGTACTTATATAGTGGATATATCAGTATCAGTAACTTATAAATCATGCTTACAAAAATTGCTACTAACAAAATACCTAATTTTAATTATGTTTCAAATTTTCCAATTTTCTGTTCTTCTTCTCTTGCCTCTTATACATTTCCTCTGTCTGGAATTTCCTACTGGCATATTTGACAACATAATAAGTTCTCATCCTTATAAATAGCCTCAACATATACTCATAAGGAAATTCCGGACAAGGATGTGCATATTGGACATTTTTCATCCTGATATATAATTCTTCTCCAACTCTTCCTGGGGCAATATATTGCATATTTTCCATTAAGATTGATTCCAAGCATGATACATAATTGACAAAAGAATCCCCTGGCATCAGTAATTTTCCAAAAACTCCTTTTCTCTGTCCATATTAAATTGATATTTGTTGTTCTGAATAGATTTTGTTTCATTAGGAGTTACTTCAGAATTGCTTAGCAGTAAGGCATCATTATCAGCTTCACAGTTGAATGTGTCAGTCCAATCCAGTTTATATATCCAGGCACGTCAGTTTTCAATATACCACATTTATTTTCTTGATTAATTTGATTTTTCTTGGTGTGATAGCTGAAAGTTGCTTTTCTGTCTGCACTTGAGAACCAGACTTCTGCACAAGTGTCTGTGTTCCTGTGTCAACCATATCTGGTTCTGTTTGGGTACCAATGCTTCTTGCTCTTGTGTTCATCCCATCTTCAGAGCTATCATCTATTTCCATAAAATGACCTACTTCTATATTTTCATCACTGAAATATGAATGCTCCTCATGTATGGAGCCTGATAAAGATACCTATAAGATCAAGTGTAAGTATGTAAAATACAATAAAATCAGGACCATTTTACCACCAAGTTCAGTGTAGGGACAGCATTTTCTTTCAGTTTGTGCTTTTCCATCAAATGATCCTCAAAATGTAGACTGCAAATTCTCATGCTTCGATACAATTTCATAGGATCAGTAGCCATGATCAATTCATCATTGCACGCCAGTAGCCATGAATTCATTCTCACTTCTTGGGTCCTAGGATTAGGGAACCTAAAAAATCTCAATGGTGTATGTTGATTATTATCTAAGTACTTACTCTTGCAGTCTTTGACTGCACATTTTACTCCTCCAGGTCTCCCTATTGCCAAGTTTATCTACAAAAATATATCATTTCTACCATAGACACTAGAAAAAATCAATATACTTACACTTATACCACAATATTTTGAGGTTATGTATTATGATAACAAGAAACGACTTTTGTCATTGTTGAAAAATTTGCCAAATCTCTGAGAAGAAATTCAAGGTCATTTGTCAGTTTTCCCGCGCATTTGAAGTGGAGCTTCTTGATAGGTGACTAACCTAACCTACTATTCTTTGCTTTAGGGTGGGTAAAAAGAAAAAGCTTGGGTAAAAAGAGATGAGAAGGTAGGTGTTTCAACACTCAATTTTGAAAATTTTCCCTTTTTTGGTTATTTCCCAATATCATTTCATTTTCAGTATTGAGAAACTAACGGGACAGGAGGAAAATAGGGGCTTTGGGTGGGTAAAAGAGCAGAATAGGTGATTTTTTGACCTTTTTTCCTGCAAAAATAATGGTAGGTAGTATCGCCATCTAACAGAGAATGCCCAAAGTATTGGCTGACAGATGATCGCACTACTGCATCTAAGGAAGAAAACTGCCACCGTAGCGCCATCTATCGGAGAATACTCAAACTATCAAGGCCGTAGTTCACCTATCGGATAACAGAGTTATACTTGATAGAAAAATGAAAACTGCAATTTAGCGCCATCTATCAGAGAACGATCAAACCAATTGAAAATTAGTTGAGCAATTGTTTGACAGAGAGCGCTAGTATTTTTTTTAATAATGCATAATCACACTTATATTTTACAAGAGAGAAAACAAGACGACTCCTCCAAAAAGATAAAATATGATAGATACTCGCTTTAGGTGAAACCCCATTCTGCTAGACTGCCTCATTCAGTCAGTGAGAGGATTGGTATATTTCTAACACCATCAGGGTAGACTATATGATCATCTGCTGATACTGAACATCACAACAGATTGAACACAAAACAGGTACTCGCTCACAGATTCACACCATTTCTGCTGTTTATTGTTTGGATATCAGCCACGCTGCACAGAGAAGGCCTATCTGAATGTCAGTGATATTTCTGTGATCATCCGGATCATCCATGAAAGCAGAAAAAGGGATCTGGAAGTAAAAGAAACAGAATAAATTTATGATAAAATGACAAGAATTTAATAGTTTTTCAGCAGCAATTACATGGATATGTACAGGCAGTAGAAACATTCTGATAATTCCATCGTAAAATACACACCTGTTGTTGATGAAAGTTAAAGAAAAATAACATGAATCGGCCAGATAAAAATGTATCCATCCATCAGGTCTTTCAGGAGGCCCACATGCAGCTGAGTCCATGTTTATGAAACACTTGTCAGAATATCTAGCCCGAAGAAGGCCGGAGTTGAATAGACGTCTTTAGTACTTGGAAAGGCATCATATACACATAAAATTCATCGCTGGGGGCCCTAGTTGTCTTCAGATTCATCAGGAATACCAAAAAAAATACATTATGATATAATAAAGAAAGATGATTTGGAGGTTAAGTTAAGAAAACTTGCCACTTCTACTTTTTTTTGTACGTTAGACGTGGACGTTATAGGCCATCCGGACAAGTTTACAATAGGAAATGGATAGACAGATGGCGCTAAGAAAATAAAGACTTCTGTTTCCATAGAGGGGAATGCAAAATCTGTTACCATACAGAAGGGGAATGTACAATGTGTTTAGAGTTTGGATCGAAAGATGGCAATCTCTGTTTGAAAACGAAGTAGAAACGCTATGTCTTTGTAGATAGAAAAAATTTGAGCAATAATATCATAAAAATGCAGTCAAGGAGTAAAATTATTCAGGCATTCTAATTTATGAGGATATTTTGTATTTATGAACTTTTCAACAGAAAACATGGAAAATTGCTATTTATTACACTATTTTTGCAAGTTCAATGTCTTAGAACAGGTTTTCCAATTTGACAGCCTTCCAAACAATCAAAAACAATGTTGAAATTGAACAACTCTTCATGAACTTATCAAAAACTATCAGTGGTCTGTTATCTGGTATCTGGTAATTTGGAACTACAGAAAGGACACCATTGACAAAAAAACTACAATAAACAACAAAATCTTTATTTAAAGAAAAAAACCCACTTGAAAAACAAAATTAAAGAGTATTTTGTGATAAGTGACATAATAAATACATAGACAGTAATATAGACTCAGAGAATAACTGTGTAGATAAAAAATTATCAAAATTCACCATGCACTGTGGTTTTCTTATCCTATCTTATCTTATCCTATCCTATCCTATCCTATCCTATCCTATCCTATCCTATCCTATCCTATCCTATCCTATCCTATCCTATCCTATCCTATCCTATCCTATCCTATCCTATCCTATCCTATCCTATCCTATCCTATCCTATCCTATCCTATCCTATCCTATCCTATCCTATCCTATCCTATCCTATCCTATCCTATCCTATCCTATCCTATCCTATCCTATCCTATCCTATCCTATCCTATCCTATCCTATCCTATCCTATCCTATCCTATCCTATCCTATCCTATCCTATCCTATCCTATCCTATCCTATCCTATCCTATCCTATCCTATCCTATCCTATCCTATCCTATCCTATCCTATCCTATCCTATCCTATCCTATCCTATCCTATCCTATCCTATCCTATCCTATCCTATCCTATCCTATCCTATCCTATCCTATCCTATCCTATCCTATCCTATCCTATCCTATCCTATCCTATCCTATCCTATCCTATCCTATCCTATCCTATCCTATCCTATCCTATCCTATCCTATCCTATCCTATCCTATCCTATCCTATCCTATCCTATCCTATCCTATCCTATCCTATCCTATCCTATCCTATCCTATCCTATCCTATCCTATCCTATCCTATCCTATCCTATCCTATCCTATCCTATCCTATCCTATCCTATCCTATCCTATCCTATCCTATCCTATCCTATCCTATCCTATCCTATCCTATCCTATCCTATCCTATCCTATCCTATCCTATCCTATCCTATCCTATCCTATCCTATCCTATCCTATCCTATCCTATCCTATCCTATCCTATCCTATCCTATCCTATCCTATCCTATCCTATCCTATCCTATCCTATCCTATCCTATCCTATCCTATCCTATCCTATCCTATCCTATCCTATCCTATCCTATCCTATCCTATCCTATCCTATCCTATCCTATCCTATCCTATCCTATCCTATCCTATCCTATCCTATCCTATCCTATCCTATCCTATCCTATCCTATCCTATCCTATCCTATCCTATCCTATCCTATCCTATCCTATCCTATCCTATCCTATCCTATCCTATCCTATCCTATCCTATCCTATCCTATCCTATCCTATCCTATCCTATCCTATCCTATCCTATCCTATCCTATCCTATCCTATCCTATCCTATCCTATCCTATCCTATCCTATCCTATCCTATCCTATCCTATCCTATCCTATCCTATCCTATCCTATCATAGGGAGGGGAGGTTCGAGTCTCTCAGGCTGATGACCTGAATAATGTTGTATCCTAACATATCCTATCAAATAAGATCTATTGACATAAATAGGTGTTGCAAGTCTAAAAACTTAAAAATGTATACAATACTAGCAAAAAATCAGAAAGATTTCAATTTCCAAGAGTTCCATTTCGGCGGATATGGCGTTCACAGTATATACTGTATGATTCAAATTAAAAAAGTAATTTCAATCTCAAAAATGCCACGATGTTTCATTAGAGAATAGCCATTAGAAACTGATTATGAATGCATGTATCTGCAAAACAGAGTTTATACTCATAGAGCTCGTAAGGATTTGCTATTAGGAACTCATTATGAATGTACATGCAAAACGAATTTCAATCTCAAAAATGCCACGATGTTTCATTAGAGAATATCCATTAGAAACTGATTATGAATGCATGTATCTGCAAAACAGAGTTTATACTCATAGAGCTCGTAAGGATTTGCTATTAGGAACTCATTATGAATGTACATGCAAAACGCATTTCACTCCCATAAATGCCACGATGTTTCAATAGAGAATAGCAATTAGAAACTGATTATAAATGTGTATGTGAAACATAGTTCATACTCATAGAGTTATTTGGGAATTGTCATTAGGAACACATCCTGAATGAACCTGCAAAACACATTGCAAATCATGCATTCCAGGAAGTTTCAATGAGGAATTCCAATTTGAAACTGATTATTGAATGTTTGTAAAACAGAGTTTATACTCATAGTTCGTAAGGAGTTACTATTAGGAACTGGATTATGAATGTATCTGTAAAACACAGTTTATACTCATAGAGTACATGAAAAACTGTCGGTAGAAACTCATTATGAATGTACTTGCAAAACACATTTCGTGCTAATAAATACCACGGTGTTTCAATGAGGAGTTCCAATTATGAACTGATGATGAGTGTATCTGCAAAACTGCGTTTATACTGATAGTGTACGTGAGGAATTTCTATAAGGAATTCATTAAGAATGTACCTGCAAGACACATTTCAAACCCATGAATGCTACAGTATTTCAATAAGGAATTCCAATTAGGAACTGATTATAAATGTATCTGCAAAACAGAATTTATGCTCATAGAGATCGTAAGGAATTGCTATTAGGAACGTATTATGATTGTACATACAAAACGCATTTCACTCTCATAAATGCCATGATGTTTCAATAGAGAATAGCCATTAGAAACTGATTATAAATGTATCTGCAAAATACATATCAAGCCCATTGTGTTAATTTCAATAATTGCAAACTTTTCTGAACTTGTGGTTCACTGATGTGTGTGAAGGGAGTCATAGAGCTATTTTGACGGCTTACAGAGAAATTTGAATTCGTAGGACTTGGATGAATCAAAATAAGTTATTGGAATGCAATTATTCATGTCATCCTTATTGACAGAACATTTGATGAAGTCGATTCAATTGAAGTTTCATTGAAGTTACGGATACATAAAAGGAAACTTGACTATATTCTTTTGAAGGAATTTTTACTGTTGAAGTAGCCCTGTTCAAAATATTGATTTATTCTGACTTCCTACACAATCCCTATTGATTTGTCGCATATAATACTCGTTCATTTTATCAAACGGCTTTCGGTGTTTGCGTTTACGA